ATTTACATTGAGAAGCTATGGAAGAGGTTCTGTGCGGAGATTACAACAGAAATCAACCTTCTTGCTGAAAATTGGAAGTATATTTTAGGGGGTCTTATTTGTCAGGTATGTTGATGATAGCTGTTTTGGTACTTTGTACTCTCTGCTTTGCTTGCTGTTGCTGAGAATAATTTGATAAATCTTCGGAATTTTTCTTACACTATGGCATACACTTGAGATCATAAGGTTTCTTAAATGAATTCTGACTAAATCACAAGTTTTCGACCTCAAAACTCGTTTTTAATGAAAGCACATCATGTAAAAGTGTGGTTTTTATTATGAGAAAACGTTTATTTTTTATTTATTTATGTGGGTTGTTGTGTTGAAAAGTAGTACAAATGTTGATTTTTGTATATGTGTGTAATTGCTTCTGATTCATTTGCTTTTTGGTGAATCTGATTATGCATTCTGGCTGAAAGGTGTTCTTTTTTTTTTTCGTCTCCCTTTTGTTCTTTCTCCTTTTCTTTTCGGTGGGAGCGAATTAAGTTACGGTGATGCGGTTGGATTGTGGAAGTAGGATAACACTCATAAATTGTTTTCTACTTTCTTCTTGCTGCTTAATTTAAGGTTCATTGCTGCATTGTGGAAAATTTTTAAGCGTTATTATTATCTCTTTGTCATTGTCTCTGTCGATAATTCGCTATAATGCTGATAGCTACTTCTTTTGAATTGGTAGTAACTTGATTTCGAAAATTCGCATTAGTCTAACCGGCCGAGTTCAGATTACCTTTAGCTGTTTCGTGATTAATGTTACCATCCATACAACACTTGAAACGTGTAATAAATGGTTTAACGAAGCATTTCTGTCTACATTACTGAGCTTCTCTGTATCATGCAATGTCATTAAACCTGATACTTTCGGGTTCAAGTATTTCGCGTATTGTTATTATTACTATTATGCAATGACTATTTTCTAAATTCTGCTACTTTTGAATCCTTATTATACAATATTCATATTTGTAACATATATCTATAATATATATTTTCATCAGTACATACATGGACTAGCAGCCCGGGGAGTTCATTATTTCCACCGGCCAGGACCAATACTCCAGGATATTGGCTTCTTTCTTCTTCCGGTATCAATAATCAGCTTTTTCTAATTTTCATTTTATTAACATAGAAAAGTGCAATCGAGCATATTCGAGCCGGGGCTTATGTTGCAAAAAAAACCTTGTTGAAAACTGTAGGAACTTGGGCCGGAAAGAGCTTACATCAGCGAAACCGTATTTACATTTGTTTTTCTCTCTTTCGTATTGGTAAGTTCCTTGCTGTTTGGATACAGTTTTCTTTTTTTTTTCTTATTTTCCCTATTTTAAA